GTGACGAGAGGCATCACCGCAGGGAGGGCACGGCTTTCGGTCACTCCGGTTTGGCGCCTTTTGGTTTGTGAGATGCCGAGATGCACCGGAGGCGGCACGGCCCCCCTGTCACGGCACCGCAGGGGGCTGCACCGCCCCCTCCCATCCATCCCATGCAGCCCCGAGCGCTCCTCACGTCAACACCCGGGACAGAGAACCAACAGAGGATGAAGAACATGAGTTGGGTGAAAGAGCAGAAGTTTGGGTACCCCGGGGGATACCTGGCGGAGGAGGAGGAGGAGGAGGGTTTCGGTGCAGTTTTGCTCTTGTATTGACAAGCCCCATCAAATGCAGACACCCCGCATCATCTCGGGGCAATATTAAACGCAGTCCTCCTGCTCACGCAGGGTCGTTTGTCGTCTGGTCTCAGCCACGTCCCACCAGCACCAGCGAAGAACTTCTCACTAGTTGCGGTATTTGTATAAAAATTTAAAAGCCACGGGGCGTATGACCACCAGCCGTCGGTCTGTCCAGCTGTCCCATCCCTCCCGGGGGAGGTCCGGGCGTCCGTGGCCCAAAGCCAGATTGGGCATCGCCTTCCCCCAGGGCAACGGGCACCCGCGGGCGACAGCAGCCTTCCCCTCCGGCTGGCCGTCCTCTTCGTCACCGCCTCTCCCCGGAGCCCACCGGCCCCGGCAGGGACACGGAGCGGGGGGGAGAGCCGCTCACAGCTGGGTCTCATCGCGTGTTTCAGGGTTGCAGGGGCCCAGCTTGTTGCTGCAGCTGCTCTGGCGGCTGTGGCCATCGTTGGCCACATGGGCCAGCGGGTCGGAGCGGATCAGGTACCTGCGGGGCACAGCCCGGTTATGCTGATGGGACTCCCCCCACCCCCAGGTTCCCCGATGGCAGAGGGGAGATAGGAAAACCCTAAATTGGGGTCTGGCCCATCCTCGGGGCTGGGACATGCGGGGCTGCCCCATGGCGCTGGGCTGGGAGCTGCGGCGTGGCAGCTTTTACAATAATTGTGATTATTTCTCCTGGCGCTGCGCAGCGGGAAAAGCCAAAGGAAAACCTCCGCGCCACCGGTCGGAGCGGTGACGGGCAAAGCCGGTGCTGGGACGGTTTGGGCACTGCTCAGGAACACGGGGAGGGGGAACGGCCTGGGAAGGCGGCAAAACCCACTGCTCTTTACGGGAAATCATGGAAAAGAATGCGATGGGCAGCCCACGGTGCTGGGGCAGCTCTGGGGGACGGGGACGGCTCCTGCCCGGGGGGAAGCCCAGGGGTGGGGGTGGGGGGCAGCACCTACACGATGTCGTTGAGCTCCAGCCGCGTGTCCGGGGGGGGATTGATCAGGACGGAGGACAAGGA